TAAGAATATGAAAGAGTAAATAAAACCCAAAACATACAATAGATAATATAAAAGGGAGGGGTTAAGGATTTAACTCAGCAGCACAGCACCTGCCTGGCAACCACAAGGTCGTAAGTTCAATTCCCAGTACCCCTCTCAACCCCCCCCAAATATGAAAGGGAAAGAAATTGCTCAATGGAAGGAACAAGTGGGATGAGGGAAAGAAGAAAAAAAAGGCAAAAAAAAAAAAAAAAAAAAAAAAAATCCTCCATGTTTCTCCACTTTCTTTTCTTATTCAAGCATTTCTGTCTATCTCCCCTAGCAGAATATAAGCTCCATGGTACCAGGACCCTTGTCTGTTTTACTTGCTTTAAGAAGAGGGGAGTAGGGGAGAACACAGTAGGAACATAACCGATGTATGAAATGAGGAAGTATACCTTGGATAGGTATGACCTCTCCTCTCCCTGACCTCACAATTCACAAAGTTACAGGCTAGCATTTTTGGAGAGTAACAGGCCTTCCATGCTGAGACAGGAAATTCAGTAAGAGACATCTGGACATACTACTAGATTATTTCTAGGTATCCCTAGGTTCCTGCTGCGGCTATGATCACAGAATAGATAATGGAGATGAGGTCAGAGGGCAAGAATTAGAAGTCTGCCTCAGTTATTTAATAGCTCTAGACTTAAGAAAGTTCACTGAACCACTTCCCACTTCAAAGCCTTGGTTTTCTCATTTGCAAAATGATACTGTACTACTTTTACCCTTATAAGTTGAAGACTAAGCAGCTGTCTGACAGCCCACTGTAAGCTGCTAAACAACATAATAATATGAGTCACAAGTACCAAATCTCTCTGTATCTTTGGGCTCTCCTGACTGCGCATAATTCAGGAAAAAGGAATCTCCCCCAAGTGCAGCCACAAAGCAGGCGTGTTAAGTACCACAGTCAGGAGGGAGCAGATCCCCCATAAATTGGGGGCCCCCTGAAGGCATCTGACTTCATTAAATAGCAAAGGACATATCTGATTCAATTTTTCCACACTCCCAGGCCAGTGATGCTGAGAAGCCCGCTTCTGCTTTACTGCCTCTTGGAAATCTTCAGGATTGTCCTTGTATTTAGGATTTAATAAGAAAACTATTTAATTTTAAGATTTTAAATGACCTAGATTGTCAGATTTCTGTAATTCTCAAAAACTATATTAAACAGCTTCAAATCAGGAAGGACTAACATGACCATTTATTCAGTTTTGCCACACACAAGAGAAATGGAAATAAGCAATGGTGGATGGGAATGGTGTCTACATTTCTTCCTAGTTAGCTCATAAGGGTGCCGGGTCTCACTCTGCTCTCCTGGGAAAGGCTGGTCGGTCACAGCAGCCACACCATACTTGGATGTGGCTCAACAATCCACTCTGCTGCCGTGGAGCCATGTCTGAGTCAGGGTGGTTAGCATGGTTTGGCCACAGTCCTTTTTCTTTGCTTTTTAGCAGCTCTCACATCACTAGGATGATATATAAACCCTAGGTTTTGGCAAGAGGCTGAAGTGGAAATTGAAACTATCTCTGGGGGAAGAACTGGGAAGAATCCACAAAACTATAGGTAACTTTACTTTCATGGGACAATTAGGATACATAACGTTGGGACTCAGGGTTGGGCACACTGGCTGAAGCATAAATAAAAATTAGGGAACTAGCAGAAAAAACATGGAGAGTTAGACCAGCATGCCTGGCCAACACCAGAAGCACTGCCTCCAGACTGCTTCTGCTGCATCTTGGTAGGTCCAGGCGCCTCTGGGGTGCTGACTCAACGTTCCAGGACTTGTCTCTCGGTCTCTCTAGCACAGGCCTACCAGCTTGGCAGCCATCTGTGTGTGACCTACTTGCCCTTCTCTGTGTACTACTCCCAGGGCTTGCTGCACAATGTGGAGGTCCAGAGTGAGATGAAAAAGTGGAGCCCCTGGTTCGTAAATTACTAAGAATTTTAAACAACAGAAGAGCAGTAAAACCAGTGTGGACTCTCTCTAAGCATGAGGCCCTGTGTGAGAGCAGGTCACATGCCCACAAAGCTGCTGCTGCAAGCACTCCTGAGCCCTCACGGTGGAAGGAAGGCCCCTCACCCACAGCTGTATGGCTTCGCTCCACTCACAGTTCATAATGATCTTCAGAGAGCAAGGGAAGGCACAGCTCCCACCCCCAAACAAGCATCAGGAATTGCTCCTTACCTATTCAGCCGTTCTGTTTCCACCTCAAACTCTCTAATCTTGCTTTCTGAGATGGCAGATCCATGTGAGTAGAGTGTCTGGAAAATCTCCTGGATGTTGGAGCAGTCCTGAAGCGAGTGAGCCAGGTGTTCTGCCACGCTGCTGGACACCTGTACAGATATGTATGCATTCCCACCTGAGGAGTGTCATTTCAGGGACACAGGTCCCCAGGCACACTCTGCATGCAGAACAATTTAAAGCTAAGATTCCTTGAAAATCCGGCACTAGGTCTTGGTTTGTGTACTATGATTTTAATGTAGAAAGCTACCTTCTATGAAAGCAGCACATAAAACACGGTCAAAATGCAGTTGCACCCCCAAGCATGTGCTACTGGGTCTCACCTTCCTCCCCAGTTTGAGCTCCCTGCTGCTCCACACCATTGTCTCTGGTCACTGCAGCCAAAGGGAGAGGCTGACTCTGAATGGGTGCAATTTTTGCTCATTCAAAATTTCATCTTAGGTTCTTAGAAGTGTTCTTCAGGCTCTCCACACTCCCAAGGATCATACAGCTGGCTAGCCCAGCCTCATGCCCCATCCTCACAGATATCCCTCCACGCACTGACACTGCTCCTCACCGCCATCCATCAGCTTTTATGCTCTAGGGCAGGCTCTACAAACAAAAGCTCTGGTACTAAACTGGCAGGTTCCGGTCTTTCCTGGCACTGGACTGCGCTTCAAAGGCAGTGTTCATCCTCAGCAAAGAGCAGGTCTCGTGCAAAAGGCACACTCTTTCAGAGCTTCACAACTCCCATGGCCCCCAGGAGGCACAGGAAATATAAAACAGATAACTCAAGCCTTTCATTAACATCACCAGGAACTAGACCTGAACCATTTCTTTTCGAATGCTTTTAAGTAAGGAAAAGGAAAGAAAAAAGTTCTCCCTTAAAGCTCAAAAAAATAATTCACCATGTGGACATGACTATACATTGTAATTTGACCTTGGGAAAAGAAATGAGGTATGATTTATTGCAATCATTAACTGGGTTACTGGAAGTGAAGTTCAGAAGCCCCTTTATCACTGGGAGCAGCTGTCTGTGGAGGTCTGGGGGACCTCATTCCTTTGCCCCAGCAACACTCACCCCGATGCTACTGATTTCTGAGCCCAGGACTGGCCGGTCAGATGAGGAAGATTCAGACCTTGTCTTTGACAGCTTCACCCTCTCTGCAATCTTGAGAAACAAAACAATGATTGAAAAAAAAAAAAGTACAACTGAACTGATTCGTTAATGTCTTTAAAACATCTCACTTGTTCAATTCCTCTACCATCAATTTAACTCACGGCTTCTCAACCTCAGCAACGCTGACATTTTGGGCTGGACAGGTCTTTGTTGTGGGAGTACTGAGTAGAACCTCTGGCCTCCAGCCACAAGATCCCAGTAGCACTCCAGTTCTGACGTTCCCCAAGGTCTCCTGGGGGACAAACCCACTTGCGCGGGAGAAACAATGGCTTCACCTAAACTTAGTAAACTTAATGCGTGAAAACCAAACTTACAATGGAGACTAGTAGAGCTACCTGGCATGAGGCCATTCATCACTTGCATAGTCTCTCTGTGGTAGATGTGACATGGTACTGGGGCTGGGGCTGCCTTCCCTGCCACGGCCTGCCCCATGATTTTTATTTTTTTGCTGGTGGAAGTGTGGGTCCTGTGAGTGGGAAGATCATTGGCTTGTTATCTGAGTCTCTGCTGAGCTGAACCTTAGTCTTCGAAAGCAGCTATCATCTACCGTGAAGTGCTGCAGCACTTAACGTCTCACTCTCCACTGTAACTTGTCAGCTGTGACATTCTCCAGTCAGCTGATTAATGAGAGCTGGTGTCCAGGTGGCAGCCAGAAGAGACTTAAAGATTATTAGTGGGTTATCTCTTGCTGTAGCTCAGTGTGGGAGACCTGTGCAAAGTCCTAGGGGAAGCCTGCTGGGCGGCTGAACTGGTAACAGGCCCGCAGTGGCATGCTTAGCGGAGGCTGGCGCTTTCAGATAACCATGTTCCCACCCTCAGTCTGGTCCCCAGGAGCTCACCTTGGCAATAGGAATGTCATTGCTGCTGCTGCTGGTGCTCAGCTCTCCAGTGCTGGGGTTAACAGGACGGTTGGCAGAAGTGAGGCGGCCAGGACTGGAGGGGCCTGTGGCCTGCACGCTCTGCAGTCGAGTTTGAAGCTCTCGAACCTGTAACCATAAGGCAACAAGAGAGGGTTGATGGTTTCCCTGGCCAAAAAGCAAGAGCCAGATGGGCAGAAGGCAAGGCTTTCCTTTACAGGAAAGGCTCTGCCTCACTGTAAGGCTATACCACACAGTGGGTCCACAAAGTCCCTGATTCCTTAACAGGACCAGTTACTGACTTGTTCCTCACAAAGACCAGGAAGATATGTTACCCAAGGAGCTGCAAACTTCTGGCAGAGGAGGGATGCACACATTTAAGGAATATTTAGTTATACAGCCTCAAGTGCCTGATGCTATGCTGGACACGGTGGGGACCCAGAATGGAATCTCCATTGTCCTGGAAGGCAGAGCCAGGAAGAGAGAGATCATCTCAACACAAGGGCACTTGAGTGCTATAGGCAGCAGAAAAGGGGGAAGAACACAGCTCCACCTGCAGTTCCTCCAAGAAAGCAGTGTGTTTGTGAAAACAGACTCCAGATTCCCACCCAGGGTCAGGTTCAGGAGGTCTGGACAAAGCCAACACCATTAGGTCTGCACACCTAATGAGTGCCTCAAAGATGCTGATGCTGTCATACACAGGACCAGACCTTGAGCGGCACCAACCGACCTGAGGGTCTCTGAAGGCCATGAAACACTTCAGTCTCACAGACAGGCAGAGTGGAGCCTCCCGTGCTGCCGAAGCCCTTCCAGCAAAGGCAGAGACCGAGCACACAGCTCCTGCTCTAAAAGCACTGGACAGCTTTTCACAGGAAATGTCTGGGATGTCTCCATCCTGCTAACTTGGGAAGCAAAAGTAATTGAAATTTCAATAATTCATCAACATATTAGAAGCCAAATTCCCCTGGAGCAAACTGCACTCAATAGTGAAACAACTCAAAAGTGGCTGATGCTCTGCTGCAGCTTCTGGGAACCATGGAATGATGGAAGTGTCTGTGTCCTCATAACACACCAGACAGGGCCCACTTGCAAACGGTTTCCAGAGCAGAAAAATGCACGCCCGCCAAGGCAAGAGGTAGGGCTTATGCTGGATTGGGTACCGACAAACCCAGGTGTAAGTGAGGCCCATGCCTATCCCTAAAATCCCAATCAGCTGAAGTATCTTCTAATTACAAAAGTAAAAGATGTTCACTGAGAAAATGTAGAAAATACTGTAAAAACAAAACATACTGCTTATGTTCTTTTTTAACTGAACAGCGATAATTACTTATAGCCATTTTGTACGACGTATATGTATGCACACCTGTGCTGAAAATAATTTCTAGACCCAAATATCTGTTTCGATTTTAAAAGCTTCAGTCCAGGGAATGTCTCTGAAAACTAAAGGATACTGTATGTATTCATTTGGGTCTGTGCTTTATTATTTCATGATAATTATTAGCCAGGCGGGTGAGTTCCAGTGAACTTGTGTATCGAGTATGTCACGGAAAGACAGACAGCTGGATGGGTTAAGTGGTCTCTCTCCCACCTGAATTTTAGGGAACAGTGCAGCAATAATGTAAAAAACACAATTTTTAAATTACATTACATCTATGAAGGGAAACTGATCTCAAAGAAGAGTGGCAAGGATTAGACTCTTGACAGATTCCCACAAAGACCACGATGAGAGGGAGGGTAGAAAACAGGTTTTCAGAAGTTTCTGTAACTGGGTAGATGACAGCTAAGAATGTCCCGCCGGTGACAGCCTCAGCTAAAGTAGTAGGCACACCTCCTAATACAAACACAGAGAAATGCTGCATAAACGAGGAAAAATTGGTGGGAGATTCACTGCCCAGGTTAAAAGAAAGACAACAAAATCTCCAGGTGCAGGAATGAGAGCTGCAGCTCCCAAGGTCAAGAGGAAGGCGGTATTTCAGGCCCTGACAATGGGGAGGGAGGGACATTGATGTAGGATCAGCAGGAGATAGAGAGGGACTCCTGCCAGCCAGGCAGTCTAAGTAAAGCCCCCAGGCCATATAGCCCAGGCCTTCCTGCCCTACCCATCGGTGCAAAGTGGACAAGACTGACCACAAAGCCTGAAGGAATCGCTGGGACTGTGCAGAGGGGAGATCTGTAAAAATCCAAACTCTAGATCTGTGATACATTTGGGTACAGACTCCAAATTTACATGACCTGTGCACTGTGGGACCTCAACACTATACATTAATACTCAACATCAATCTGGACCTTGCAGGCCCCTCCTGCCTCAAAAACTGAACTTAAAGTCACCAGTAGTACTAAGGAAGAGGACCCACAGGTTTCCCGAAACTAGGAGCCTCAGAACTCGAAGCCATCAGACACAGAGGGACTCATGCAGAGGGAAGAAGATAAAGCAAGAGAGCTGGCCACCGAAGTCGGATAAACTCAACCCAGAAGAACAAAAGCAAACTGTGAACGCTATCACAACAGTTAAGTTTAGGACACTTAAAGAATGAGAAGCGAGGCAAAACAACAAGCAGGTATCAAAAACATCTGATGAGAGCGGGAAGCATCTTAGGCTCTTCGGGCAGAGGTGCTGGTCCTTCTCATTTTCTGTCATACTGCCAGTGCCTTCAACTATGGCTGACGTTGGTCTTCACAAAATCCGTTGAGTATCACTGAAAAAACCTGGCACCATAAAATCTAGGACCTAGCGAGAATATACAGTAGAATGACTTGTGGCCCCCAGAGTCCAGGTCCTTGTCCCTGAGGTGTGTACGGTACCCTGGGTACAAACAGCACTTGGAGGCGGGGAGGAGGGGTCAGAAGTAGAGTCCCGAAAAGGTTACATTGCTGGCTTTGCAGAGTGAGCACAGTCACACAGGGCAGGTTGCTTCTGACACTGGGAAGGCCGGAGAGGCAACCGTCCCTTCCCTTAAGCCTCCAGAAGGCACAGCCCTGCCAACACCTGCATTGTAGCAAATCTGACACATTCTGGACGTCACACTGTCAGAATTGTAAAATGACATATTTGTGCTAAGGCACTGAGTTATTGATCATTTTTAGGGTATCTGTACAAGTGATGTAACTAGCAAGAGTGTGGGCTGCACTTACATGGCACCCAAAAAGGTTGATTTCCTAGAAAAAGCTGAGAGTTGAATGTTGGTTACCAAAGGAAGGGAGGTCAGGGAGAGGGAGGGACGGGGAGAGGGAGGGACAGGGAGAGGGAGGGTCAGGGAGAGGGAGGACAGGGAGAGGGAGGACAGGGAGAGGGAGGGTCAGAGAGAGGGAGGATGGGGAGTGGGAGATCAATGGGCACTAAGTTCCAGCGAGGAACAAGAAGTGCTGATGTGCTGCTGCGCAGGAGCATGAGTACAAGTAACAATTAATTACAAACAATTAATTCGTAATTTCATTGTGTAATGGAGCTGGGGGAGATGAGGTGATTCCTACACTACAGAAGGGTGAGACTCACGAGGCCAGAAAAGCTCCACTTAATGAGGGTGAGGCAGTTCATCCCAACGCACTTCTTGGGCATTTTGCAGAGAACCAATCTCCTAGTGGAGACTTTGTAAAACGTCTTGGAGGCCCCAAATGACTGAGAAATCAGAATCTATTTACCAAAAAAAAAAAAAACACTAACAAAAAAAAAAACAGATTTATTTTTACAAACTTAATTCACATGGTGTTTTGGGAAAGTGGAATTTTATTGTTGATGGCAACTTTGAGGAGGCTGAAACAGAAAAGACAGAGCGTGAACCAGGAGAAGAGAAACAAACCCGGCAGCATTTCCGTCTCTGTATGTTTGACAGGGGCACTCTCTCTCTCTTTTGTTCTTTGGCCACTACAGTACATACTTCAATCTGATTATCAGAATAGCCGCATCAAGGAAAAGCTCAGCATTCTCGCTGTCTTCCTAATTTCTTACCAGCTTCCCAACAAAAGGACTCAGCTATTTTCTTTATAGCAAAGAGTTAGCCTTTAAGCAGCCTGGCCTCGTCACAGGCCTGGACTGTGGGTGGATGATGAAGAAACACCGGTGCAGACAGCTGGAAAGTGGCCTCACCATTTCCACGGCGCAGGCGCAGGTAAAGCCTCGGAGGGGCCCTGCACACTGTTTCTCAAGAAAAGGTGCAGATTCACAGCTCTGAGGAGTCTCTGCCTTGGGCCCCTCATCTCACAGAGAGGAGAGACATATTACATCAAGAATACTCAACTGGACTCAGATGGAGATGAACAAACACGCACAACAGCTTCTCCCTGGAACAAGTTCACTGCAACTTCCTACAGCACTGTGTTAGCAAGGGGATCACAATATGGAATTACACTCAAGGCTAACCTCTTCACAAAACATCCCCCGCCAGCCCTATGCAGCTGGACAGCTGTTCTACTGTAACGGGCTGGTCTCCTAACTGCTAGCCTGCGTGGACAGAGGGGCCAGAATGAGGGAAAGGGTGAAGAGCAGAATACAGGAAAGCAATCGAAACAGCAGAACAGTGAAACTGCAGGTTACGGTTTAGATCTAGTATGTTCCCCACTGGGTGACCATATTCTGAATATTATCTAATTCTTCTGTATCAGGTACTTTTATTATCCACACTTCATGGCAAAGTAAACTGATGCACAGAGAGGTTAGGTAACTTGCCAATGACTCACGGTAACTGTGTTGGTCAGTTCAGACTATAACCTCACTCAATGTGGCCCCACAGCCTTGATACATAAGGTAAATAAATATTCCCACGTTATTCAAGCCTCCCCCACATACAGATTGAACTCAGAACTCTGTACCGAGCTACAGTCTTGATTCCCTTTTATTAAAATCTTTTTAAAATGTTTTTACTTTGAGGGAAGGTCTCAGCAGTTTGGCTTGAACTTTTGATCCTCCTGTCTCAGCCTCCCAAGATGCTGGGACTATAGGTCTGTGTCACTATCCCTGAAATTATCATGGTGTTCTTAATGTCCTCCAGTGTTAGAGAAAACACTGAGGAAGGGGCATGGGCTTTTTTCTAGTTATAATGCAAGGGTTGTTCTGTGCTTTAGTAAGATTAGATAAAATTTCCTCAAGTTAGAGGAAATTTATTCAAAACCACAGTATGTAATTACACTTAGGATCAACATTTTCTCTGCAAAACATCCTCTGCCACAATGCACACACTAAGAGCAAGCACCTGCCTACTGGGCAGGTGAGTCACAAAGATCAGGGAAGGCAACCTGGAAATTATAGGCTGTGTAGGCCTCAGTGCTGACTTAGTCTCAGCTGGCTCTCTGTGGAAAGTCTTTGCTGACTGGGATGATTTACAGCTGCTGATGCAAGTGTGCAGAATGCTAGCTGATAGAGCTACAAACTAAGATATGCTTGTGCATGTGAGTAAGGGAAACGTGTTCAGATATGAGCACAGGAGTGCTGGCCCTTTAATTATATTAGTCATAAATGAAGAACACACCCGATAGCATTCAAAACAGTAATTTCACCCACATTCATGAATAATGACAACAAAGAATACTTGCGTGTAGATTACAAAGTCAAGTGATAGACACATGCTGACCGTACTGAAGAACAAGCTACTTCCAAGGTGCTCCTTGAAGCCTAGAGAAACAGCAGTGGTGAAGGCTGATAAGACCTGCTGAGGTGGTTTTCCCCTTCTAATTCACCCCTGTGCAAAACTACCCAGCAGAGTATGACTAAAAAATGACCTAATTATTGTCTAGATTGAGGAAGAGAATGAAATAGGTCTTGTAATTCAAAGTGAAGTTCAGAGGGAATCACAGTATTTCTGACTGAAGAATGCATTGCTTCACCCCTAGTCCAATACAGATCAAATTCACAAACAAAGAAGTACCGTAGGCCTCTGTATCTTTGGAAAACTGAGTGCTTCGAACAGTTCTGCCAAATGTTTCTACGTGAAACACCAGCACCTTCCAGTAACTGATGTGTCCTAACCACAGTAGTTCTCAAACTAGTGCAGGCTTTGACGTAAATATGAGGAGTCACACACATGTGCACACACACATGTGCACATGCAAAGACACATTATTTCACACTTACACACATGCACAATTACTTTAACTTTAATAAGTGTATGGTAGAACAGATGATGTTTTCCACTAGGAGCAGGTACTATAAAGTTAAAGAAAATGTTGCAAAAAATATTTAAAGGGGGAAACTTTCTGTTTTTAAAATTATAAAAATATTAAGACTACCTTAAAAAAGCATGCTAATTATCTTTGGGGACACCATATATACCTGGGAGAACAGTTTAGATTCACTGCTCTGATAAAATTGTACTATTACTTAGATTTAGGATTCCGGAGAAAACTGATTTTAAACTATTTCTTCTACACTTTAGCACTTTGAAACTATAAAGAATGACTGTGTGATGAGAAGGGTCCAGCAAGGTGCAAGAGTAGAACTACCTGAAATTCTGGGGGTTGCCCTGGCTCTGCACGCCTGCTTCTTGCAGCCCCATGACCACAAAGGCCTGGCCAGCGGCCGAGCCACGCTCACCCTCCTCCGCAGCCGGTCCCGCTCCTCGCGGACGGCATTCATGGTGGCCTTGGTCCGGTTCAGCTCTTCCTCCTTGCTGCACAGCATGGCAGTCAGGCTCTCGTTCTCTTCCCGCAGCCCAGCCAGCTCCTTCTCCCACCGAGACCGCTCTTCAGCCAGGTTGGGGTACAGGTCCCGGCCGAGCACCCCCTCAATCTCTTCAACTGTCTGCAAAACATGGCCACAAAGAAAAGCTGGGTCAGTTACCTGGGAGGACGGGGACAGGAAGCAAACAAGCTGCACAGGAGTAGGGGGACACAGAGAAGAGGCTTTTAGAGCTACGTCACTGCACATAATGAGTGTGGCTAGGGATGACGCCAACTGTCCTCTTCCCAATTTCTGATGAGGTACTCTCTTTTGCCTGGATCATCGTCTGTGTTAGCCAGCGGCTAAGAAAAACACAGTCCCTTCCTGGGATTTCAGTCTTTGTGGGAACAGCTGCCGTGTTCTCACAAACGTTTCTCTCCTCCGCCTAAGTTCCCAAGTTGGTTGGTGAGCACATGTCCCTGCAGCAGGTCAGTCAGTGATCCTAATAATGCGGCAAAGGCATGAGGCTGCAAACTGCATACAACGTTTAATTTGAAGTTTCCTAAATTACAGGCCTCCCATGTGCCAACTCAGCAATCAGCATTCTCACTTTCAGTGTCACATCAGAATTCAGATGGTGTGAATGAGGTTCAGTCCCAAGATGTATGTGAAAGACAAAAATAGGCCTCAGTGACACAGAAAAGAGGAAACACTGTGGAGGTTTCTCAGACAGCAGGGATTTAATAAGATAGCTGCAAACTAAAAGAAGAGAATGTTGTATTTTGAAAGTTCCTAAAAATTGATTTGCAACAGTATTAATAGGGAAGAAAAATGCATAAAATTAAGAAAAAAGGGCAGAACTTATTCTGCTTGTTCTCAGGAACTGTTCCTCCACCTGCGCTATCTTTTACAAAAGAAAGCATAAGCCGGCTGATGTCCAAGCAGGAGGGAGAAGGGTGGGGCAGGGACGGAAGGCAATGGAGAGATGGGATGAAGGTCTTGAGTGCTGTACTGGAAACAGAAGGCTGCCACTCTTGGACGCTCACAGCAGTTCCCTGGCAAGGACAGTTTCCCAAATTTTGCTGCCACTTTCTCTATGCTATGTGTGGTCCTCTTCATAAATTCAAGACTCTGATCCTATGTGGCTTCACTCAGTCTCTATGTGCCTTGCTACTTAACAGAAACTCTTGTCCTTTTCCTTCCCGCAATGTCAAGGCGGGGCCTAGGACCCAAGTTGACATTACCATAAAAAATGGGGCCCAGGAGACTCCAGAGAAAGAACAACAGTATCTGCTCCCCCACCCAGACCACATGATCCACACATGTGCAACTGAGATGAGTAACATCAGGAAGGCAGCTGTGTTATCAACATACATCACCATGCTTTACCTTGAGTAACCACAGAGCTTTTGGGAAATCTAGGATTCCTGTCGACAGAAACTTGGGCCTAGATTGCTCCTCTGTGTAAGTTCCCCCCAGACTTTGAAGTTAGGCCTAGGTCACTAAGCTATGGTGAACTAATATAAAGACACCTGAGGCCCAGGATCAACTGCACCAGACATCCTCTTTGAGGATGAGTATGTGCAGATGCAGATGCAGCAAATTCCCAGCACCTGGTTCTCCTTCAGCAGTAGGCTGAAGGCATGTCAAAGACACGACTGAGCCTCTGCTGCATTGTGCTGGGGAAGAGATAATTCAGACCCTGAACCTTCTGCTTTGTTAGTAATGTGGATCAATAACTCATGCAATTGTATTCTAGAGGCCTTAAAGCTCTCATAAACTTCCAAGGCAAATGTGCAATGTAAGAGTGCCCTACGATGACCCACACTTAAAATGATATGGCTCAATACCGGTAATGGAATTGTTTCCAAGTAAACTGTCCTTTCTAGACAGAGCCAGGATCTTGCCATCAATAGAAACCCTTTCTCTACAGAAGTTCAGCTCAAAACAAATTTATGGAGCCTCTGCTCCTACCCAATCTGCAGTGTTGGTTCCACAGGAACCCTCATTCGGAACAGGTGTCTGACAGGAGTTGTGCTCTCCGAGAGTGAGCAGTGGGAGGGGGAGGCTGACCTTGATAGCCAGGTCGCAGTGCTCGCTGGCCGTGGTAAGTTGCTCGATGTGCCTGTCCACCTCGGCCACGGACAGGCTGCAGCTGCTCTTCTTCCTGCCACAGACCACACTCTCCAGTCCCGTCAGCACCCTCTGCAGTTCTGAGTTCAGGTCACTGCAGTTATCTGTAAGGACAAAATGTATTACTAAGCAGGTGCGCTGGCAATGAACACGCTCCATTTCACTCCCCGCAAGGGACTCATTCGGGTGAAATGGAGCTTGACATTTCAAGTCCAACATCATCCTGCCTCATTGCATGGGCTGCTGACACTATCTCTAGGGTCTGCAGCCAAGGTAAAGCTCTTTATTAAGGAGTTTCAGACCTTGCTAATTTTCCGGAGAGCTGTACCACTCTGAACTGTCTTGCCTTTCACTCAAAGGTAACTACATCTACAGTTTCTTTAGTAAGAGCAAAGAAATACCCTAAACAGGGCAGTGAACACTTCACAAGCCTTCTGGAAAACCTCCCTTCTCAGCCACTCTGACCAGCACTGACTCCGGAGTTTCAGCTAAGACTCTATCAAAACTTTACTAACAAGAAATCCCAAAATGAGAAGAGACTTGTGCATTAAAAACAAAACAAAACTAAGAGACCATTCTTATCCTCAAAAAGCTTAAAATGTGGGGTTTCCTCCCCTCTTCCATATACCAATCTATCTGTCCCATCTTTGAATTTAATCTACCCTCTATCACAGAAAAATAACTTCTAATAAAGTCTATATTTGTTTTCCATGAGTTATGGCTTGTTTCTGGATGTCCCCGCAAAGCCTCATGCAGTCTTGGGGCAGGCTTCTAGAGTTTATGGTTGATTCATGGTTCAGTGTTGGAATTATGGGTATGAGTGCTGCACCCGCCCTGGGGCAGGTAGTTTGCATACAATGTAAGGGAGGGAAAGAGGCTTACTCTCTGCCACTCCTCCCTTGTTTGCTCTTGTTGTTTTGCTGTGTTCTGCTGCCATGAACTGTTGCCCTGTGCCATGTACCACTCTGCCTTACAGCCAGCTGAGTTGGCCACCAACTGTTGCCCTATGCCATGTACCACTCTGCCTTAGAGTATGGACTGAAACCTCCACAAACTGTGAGCTAAATAAACCTTTCCTTCCTTAATTCTGGGTGCCAGGTATTTTGTCTCAGCAACGAGAGAACCGAGTAACGGAGACACCATGGTAAAGTCTGGAAACTAATTCTAGTAACTTAATCTTAACAATATTGATCACTTTTAACTGCTGGACATTCACACTGGGGAGGGAAGGAAAATTAATTATAATTGCAAAATGAGCTAGAAATATTATGTAAGATAATTTTGTGGCGAGAAAACCTCTTAGATTTCTAACCTGCTATTCAGGATTCTATATTGCACCCCATCACTCATTATTGCAGCAATACCGGTACTGACTGTGTGCTATGTCTTTTCATACATCCAAGCTGGTTCCTGCCAGGGCTGGGGATTTAGCTCAGCAACACAGTGCCTGCCTGGCAAGTGCAAGGTCGTGAGTTCGATTCCTGGTACCGGAGAAAAACAAACAAACAAAAAAAAAACAAGCTGGTTCCTGCAAGGACAAAGCTAAGAATCTTCATAGTCCCCTTCGTATCACATGTTCCATGCACTAAAATGTTCAGCTGTTTCTGGTGCTCATCTTTGGAAGACTTCAAAAGAACTCTTAGCACTATATAAGGAAGAGGATTTCTTAGGATGCATCAGTCAATCTCATTGTGCTGCTCAGACCTGTAACCTATCTGAATCTATGGAGAAAGCCAACCTGAAGCTTTGGACAACCAATGCACACAGTTATTCTGTGCAGTCCTCCAACCTGTTCCTCCTCAATTTCTTCTCTGTCTCTATGGATGGCACCACCACTCACCCAGTTAATCAGTTCAACTTTGAGGCAATCCGGACACTTTTTGCCTCACACCCTAAATCCAATCCATCTTCTGAGCACAAACATCAAAATTGAAGCAGAAAATGATCTCTTCTGACCATTTCCACTGATACCATCCAGCCACTGTCATTTATCAAATGTGCCACTGTCACAAAGCTCTTCTCTCCACTGTCCATGTGGCAGCCAAAGCCCTTTAAACACACATCAGGTCATACTCCTTTCATAACCTGCATTGTCCAACAGCTTCCCACTGCCACTCAGTTAAAGTCCAAACTCCTTACCAGAGTCTGTGAAACTGCATGACCAAGACTTCCTCAGCCCAAGAAGTACCATGAGATTCCCTGGGAAGAGTTTATAAAATGGCCAATTAATTCACAATCTCTGGAGGTGGGGCTTGGACACTGGAGTTTTAAGTTCATCAGATAATTTTCAGCACAGTCAGGGTAAGAAACACTGCTCTGGCCTCTGCCTCTTCTATTCTACTTTCTTGTGGTCCTGATGCTCTGTCCACACTTCTGGCTTCTTTCTTTCCTGGAATGTGTCCAATTCTGGTCTGTCTCAGAGGTTCTCTTTTTCTTGGTAGTTTTCTCTGCCCAGAATGATTTCCACTCATCATGTAGCTCTCAGATATTGTTCTAGTTCTTTCCCTGGCCCGGTCCCTATACCATCACCCTATTTTCTTCATGACAGTTGTTATCTGATCTGACTTAAGAGTTTGTTGTCTCTCCACTACTAAGCATAAGCTCCTCCAATGTTCAATATTGTAGGTAATCAAAAGTTATTTTTAAGTGAGCAAATATAAACACTACATTACTATATTTTTAAGAGAGCAAGCACAGACTGTCAATAGCAGCATTTTTTTTTTTTTTTTTTTTTTTTGAGACAGTGCTATGCAGATCATGCTGGCCTTGAACTCACTACATAGCCCAGGCTGGCCTCAAACTCGTGATGATCCTCCTATCTCAGCCTGAGTGCTGGGATTATAGGCATGTGCCACCACTCCTGACTAATAGCAGCAGTTTTTACATTAATTATGCTTTTCGCCCTTGTCATGGACCACACTGAGTTGCTACCATGGGTGATGAGGGTTCATCATGATGATAGTGACACACTTCTCACTGCAGACAGTCAGTCCTCCGGACACAGATGGCAGGCATCATGGATGTGAGGTGAAGGGACCCGAATGAGGAGCAGCATGCCCCAGTGACCACACAGACCAGCCTCTGAAACTTTACTCTTGGGTGCAAGTTTCCTGATATCCCACGCTGGAGTGAACTAAAATCTCTGAGGTGTTTGCACTAAGTGCTTAGGAATGGGAATGGGGATGAATGGTGTCTTTATTCAGCCATCCTGCACCAATGTCCCAGCACAGGTCTACTTGTGCAGGTGCTGCGTTGGAAGTTTCTGCTGGAGGGGTGAAAACAGATTTCTGAAGATGCCACAGGGAACAGAAGGAAGGACTAGAGATCTGACCACTATGTCTTTCTCATTCTACAACCAGTTGCGAAGCCCTGGCCTCAGTCTGGAAGCAGAGTACAAGGATGAACAGGAGACTTCTCTCAAGTCTGAGAGCTTCCCAGATGTGCTGGGTGACCCCTGAAGCCCCTCTCTTCACTGCCCACCTGCCTAGGACAGCACCCTGGAGCGCAAGTGCAAGGATGGAGGACGGAGAGGCTGGGCAGAGCTCATTAGCATCTACCTCAGTCCCAGGAAGGGAACCAAGGCTTTCTTTAGTATCAGGCCGCTGAAAGTGTAAGAATACAGAACTGGGTGATAAATCCCATAGACCACAGCTATTGTCCACAAAGCTCTGCAATCTGGTTTCACAAACTCATTAGTGATCTGCTGACACTTGGCTGTCCTTTGTCACTGCTCCCTGTTTAGAGCCTCACAGAAGGACAAGGTGGCTGGCCTAGCAGAAGGAGGAATCACAGGTCCCTTGTCTGAAGTGCTGTTATAAGGCATCAATCCCTCCCCACCATACACCCCATCAGAGTGGTGCTGTCTTTAGAGTCTGTGACATATTCTTCTAAATGTACACTTAAACTCCAAACTCCTTCCTTTGGCCCACAAAACCTTGTAGAATCTGGCCTCTGCAGAGATTGTCCTTCAACATCAAAAGTAAGTCAGCTGGAATTTCCACAAAAAGTAAGCAATACAACTACAGGGAATGAGGTAAGCCAAGCCAAGTCAGAGTGCTCCAGATGGTGCAAGGGGTGCCTCAGTGAGGGGCAATCCTGGTAACTTCGGATCTTGAAACAGGATCAGCACCTTTGATAGTTTAGAAAGGGCTTTCACATACACTGTCACATTCCATTCCACTAGATAGATGGGCAAATCATATCCAAGGAGATGTCTGAGGTTGGAGGACTTCGGTTATTTAACCAATGCTGCATGGTAAGCGGCAGCAGAGATGGAACTATAGTGGTGGCCTTTTATGGTCAGAGCTATTTTAACCATACCACTGTAATCTGGAATAAGGATCTCTGGGCATATAAGCAGAAGCCATAATACTGCACTCCTACCTACAGTCTCTGTTTCTCAAAAGAGCCAACAGAGGGACAGAAATCACAATTAAATGAGAAACTTAACTCTGAGGAGACTCTGTAAAGGTAAGGATATGCACTATAATTCTTAAAACAACCACTAAAAATGCTAAAAGGAATGCTCAAAAGCCAATAAATTAAGATGAAATTCTAAGACAATCAGTTAAATACAAAAAAAAAAGAAACAATTTAAAAATCAGAAGGAACAAGCCGATTGTAAGCAGGTATCAATTGTGTCCATCAGTTTCTATTACTGGGACAAAATACTTGAGAAAAACGACTTCAAAGAGGACAGATTTCTTTTGGGTCATGGCTCAAGGTCTCAGCCCACCCCACTTGGCTCTGTTGTTTTAAGGCCCGTGCTGAGGCAGAGCATCATGAGGGGCAAAGCCGCTCACCTTGCAGCAGCCAGGAGCAGACAAGGCAAGGAGGCTGAATGTGGGGGTGGGGATGATGCAGCATCCCCAAGGGCACACAGGTCCAGGACCCACTCCCCAGGCCAAGGCCCCGTCTCCTACATTTCCATCATGTTCCAATATGCTGTTAAATTAGGAAGCCATCAAAGGGACTGGCCACTGAGGAACTTAGAGCCCTCATGATCCACTCATTTTCCAAAAGTTTCATCTTCAAATATTACTGCCTCAGAGACCAAACCTTCACTACATGAACTCTTAGGGAATATTTCAGATTGGAAGCATAA